CATATCTTCATAAGCCCCCTTGCAGTAAGTCTCTGAGAAGCACAGATACCTCTGGACCCCAAGGCCTCAGAAAAGCCTCTGCATGGGATGAGGAAGGTTTTTAAATTGTTTCCTCTTGAGAGAGAGGCTAAGGTGAGTCAGAAAGTCAAATGTGACGTTAGCAGAAGCATGTGTCTGATAGGCCCTAACCCAAGAACAGGTCAAATCATAAGTAAAATTACTAAACATGTAACATAGCAATTGGACAACTACTTAGGGAGTGGCACAGAACTACTGATTTTCATGCCTGGATTAGTAAGATACTGTGCAGAGAAAGCAGGCAAGGTTAGAGTCTACAGAAACCAAATGCAATTAGGTATTACTGCTTTTTCACCTGGGATTCTTTATGCTAAAATATTGGATTAAATCTCTGCTGCACATCCCCTCCAGAACTGAGCAGGACATTAACCATGTCATGAATCTCAAGTTTGGATACAGCATCTGAGATAATAGAGATTAACCCCGCATAGTCATTAGAGTTCCTGTTTTTCAGCTCACTAGGATGGCTAAGGAGTGGCAGGAGAATAAGGACTTTGGAAGGGCTGCTCAATCTAGCATTAAGAGACTCCCAGTTAGAACTGTACTGTAAGGAGCAAGGAGATCCAGTCTACCTTGTGGGAACTGGCCCCAAGCTCATTCTTGTCCCACCTACCAAGGTATGATGGGTGGTCTTATCATCTCATTAAAGAGATACCACTCTGGGGGTGTGTCTGGGTAGGTATTGGATGGGGGGGCTGTCTCTGCTGGTGCTAGCCCCTAACCTTCTCAGGCTCTCTTTTGGCCTCTCTGCTTTCTCCCTGGCATGATGTGAAGAACTCTCTTGCCAGGGCTTCTGCCATGATGTCTATAGACTAAACCCTCTGAAAGTGTGATCCAGAATAACTTCTCCTTCTTTAAAGTGCAGGGGTCAGATATTTTATCTCAGCAACAAAAAGGTGACTAATACTCAAGAGAGCCCTCTTGCAAGACCTGTTTCGTTTTGTTTTGTGTTGGAGACTGCTATTGTGTAAACACTGAAGTCTCGTATAAGCTGTTTATTAAAAAAAATAACAGATCATTCCTGAGAAGTAGCAACCATGAACTGGAGAGGGGAGTTTTGTGTGGATTATAACATGACATTCCGGGGTGAAGTGTAGGAAGACAAAGCCAGAGAAATGAGCAGAAGGTTAAGGGATTCCAACAGGAGAGATCATGCGCAATTCAAATCTGCTCACACATCTTCTACCTCAGGTTAACACTTGAAAGGGGGTTACAAATAACAGAGAACCAATGTGAAGGAGGAAAGTTCTCTTCATGTGCACCAAGACTAAACATTTTTGTAATCAGTAAAAACAAGGGCTTCTGAACAATTTGAAGAATAAAGGTTCATTAGAGCAAGTTATATAAGGATTATTGAACTTGACCACGGTGAAGCATTTTTTTTTAAAGGCAGGTTTTGGGTTTTTGTTGTTGTTTTTTGTTTTGTTTTTTCGGTACCAGGGATTGAACTCAATTGAGCTATCTCCCTGGCCCTCCAGAGAAGCATTTTTGAGGGAGTTCAAATTTCATGACATGGGGTGAGATCTCCAGCTAGTCATAAAGAATACAGTTCAAAAAGCATAGAAAGAAAGAAGCGTGGTTGCTGGCTGCAAGACTGAACAAGATGGAAAGCTGAAGCACCAATTCAGACTTACGCAGTAGGAGTTAAGTGCAACTCAACTCTGTGAGTTCAAATTTCCAATCTGCAAAGTATCCAAAGGAAAGGTAGATCCTATTCTGTGAGCTAACGATTCTCCAGTATGAATTTCAACCTATCCGCTTTAATGCTACCTGGGAAGCAGGTTCTGTGTGAAGGAAGACAGGCTGGAGATTCAGTCCTCTCTCCTGGACATCCTTAAACTCTAATACAGCAATCTAGGGCTCTTCATTTATAAGCAAACACAAGATAGCTGTCTCACTGAGCTAAGCTAGAACTCACCCCATACCACAACTGGTGGCTGAAAGTGAAAAGCTCCCAAAAGGACGCTACTATAGGGCCTGCTAAAATGTCCTCTAGTGGCTGTGGCGGCGCGCGTAGCGGCCTGGCAGGGGAAGGGTGCCAGAGCCGGCTGAGCAGCTAGGCCTTCCCACGTCGGCCGCCGTGCCCTCGATGCTGGTTGCGGGCTCCCCGAAGTAGAGCTGAGACTGGGCGGTGGGCGTGGTAAGAGGCTGAGGAACCTGCGCATCCACGCAGGTAGATGCGGCTCCGCAACGATGGACACCCTGGAGAAGGACAACTTGGCGCTGTCCTTCTCCTCTGCCTCTGATGCTGTGGTTGGATATTTAGAGGACATTATCATGGATGATGAGTTCCATTTACTGCAGAGAAATTTCATGGACAAGTACTACCGGGAGTTTGAAGACACAGGAGAACAAACTCACCTACACACCTTATTTAATGAATATATTTCTCTAGTGGAAAAGTACATCGAGGAGCAGCTGCTGGAGCGGATCCCAGGGTTCAGCATGGTGACCTTCACAACGCTACCGCGCCATAAAGATGAAGTAGCTGGTGACATCTTCGAAATGCTGCTCACATTTACAGGTTTTCTGGCTTTTAAAGAAATGTTTCTGGACTACAGAGCAGAAAAGGAAGGCCGGGGACTGAATTGAAGCAGCAGCTTAGTGGTGACATCGTTGTGCAAATCCTCTACTATCCCAGCTTCCCAGAACAATCTGCAGCACTAGGTCACGAATGGGATCATTCTGGATGTCACCAGCTAAGTAGTCTCAGAGAGACTTTGGCTGTGGTGATGACAACAGAAGAGTACATCTTAGAAAGACTGAAATGTTCTGCAGCCCTTCATTCATGTTAAGTATTGATGGGTCCAAAGCATAACCTGACCCTCCTGGCCCCATTTCTTCTGA